TGAATGGGCTCTTCAAAATACAACAAAGAACAGTCTTTGGAGAGGTTTAATTTACAAGCAAGCATGCTGGGCATTCTGCTAATTTGGTTTCTTTAAAAATGTAGTTTAATGAATTGAGTGAACTCTCAGCCTTTCATTCATTCAACTCTTGATTGAGTCAGAACACGAGTCAGAACAATTCATGCATGTAAGTTCCAAAGTGGTCTGAAAATAAAAATTTGATATTCTAGCTTGAGTTAAGAGTAGCTATAGAGGCCAGAACAATAGATGCTAAGTTGAGTTGGGCCTGGTTAATACCTGAATGGGGGACCACCTGGGAATACCAGGTGCTGCGCACACCCAGCCAGCTGGGCTGGACAAGCCAGTGCACTCCTCATGCTGGTCCCATGCCTGGATGAAATGGGAGGGTTGCATAAGGAACAGCACCCAGCTTAATTAATGTGTGCCGAATCAAATTTATGTAATCCACCGGTGACCCACAATGGGAGCAGATAAGACATGACAAAAAAAAAGTTAAATTAACAAAACTTACATACTGACATTAAGATTCCTCAAAATTCCTCTGTGATGTTTTACAGTAAGCTAACTTCCTCTTTCGCTTGCATCATAATTACTACGGTCACTAGAGGTCACCAACAATAACTTGTAACCGTTGGTCATAACACAGTAAGGAGCTTGCACAGATGACATATGGGCTCATGCTTTTACAGGAGAACAGTCTGTACACAATCTTCCTTAGCAGATGGAGTTTGACCAGTTGTCATGGAAATATAGATGTTTAGCAGTGCGACTGTTTTTTGTCATGTGCTGTTTCAAAGTTCAGGACCATAATTATCAGACTTTTTAAAACTCTAAAATATTGGTATTGGTATCTGCCTCATACATGAAGTATTGCATGGGCTTTATTTTTGTAGCAGATCCAGATCTAGATGTGGTATTTCTAATTTCTCCTATTATTAATGTACATATTCTATAATTAAGATTATAGAATTAATATTACTATGTTATAAATTTTATCAAATTAAAACACTGTGCAGCCATTGCAAAGCTTTACTTTATCCAGATGTTACTGTAGTGCTTTTTTCACTGAGTCACTTGAGAAAACTTGTCAATAAAAACTGCATTGTGACAACTTTCTTCTTAGATTTTTTCTTTTTTCTGGTCTTTTTTTAAATTCATTTTGTGTTTCTCTAGGTGGCAGTCGTTGTTTTTTTGTCTTGTGCAAACATGGTGGCTGCAGCTAATGCTGCCCAGGCTACCTACTCTTCCCTTCCTGTTCTGTTCATTCAATACAAAATGGAAACACACACACACACACACACACACACACACACACACACACATATGCCAAAACAAAACAAAACAGACATTGCTGTCTGTGCAGTGTCTGTGAGTATATGGAGCAGCAAATGGAGGAGCTAGGTGTTATATCATTCAGACAAAAAGGAGCAACTAAATATACATTATGATGCTACAACATCTAGCTAGAAAAGACAGATCCTGTTTTTCTACAGTGCTGTAAATGGTCAAATGATGGTGCTGATGACAATGCTTTTAAATAGCACTGCACAGTATGTGAGTACCCATTGTTGCTCTTTCTTTCTCGGTCTCTCTCACTCTCCCTGCCGCCTCCACGGTGATGCGTGTTGCATTAACACTGAGGTGAAGAGTGGGAGGTAGAGGGCAAACTGAGAGGGTTACAAGAGGGATGGAGGGAGCCAGAGAAGAAAAGAGTGTGTGGGAGACTGAAACATAGATAGATAGATAGATAGATAGACAGATAGATAGATAGATAGATAGATAGATCTGTCATTCCGTCATTTAATTTCTCCTTCATCACCTCTTTTCTAAAATGTCTGATCTTAAAATGTCTGATCCTAATGATTTCCCAAGGGTAACCCACTCAGGTCAAACTAAACCTAAAAGGGAATGAGACAAGAGGGAGAGAGAAAGATAGCGATACAGAGAGATAACAAGTGAGGGATGAGAAGGAGAGATGAGCTGAAAGAAGAGACAAAAAAGGCAGATGGAGAGAAGTTGGTCTCTTTGCAGTTCCAAAGCTCTTAAAGCCCCAAAGCTGTATGGAGTATAAATGGGTTGGGGGAGAGAGAGACAGAGGAAGAGAAGGAAAGAGCAAGAGGTAGAGAAAGGCAGAATCGAAGAGAAAGCTATAAGGGAATGAGAGCGAAAGGGAGAGGAGGAGGAGGAGGGTTTGCGTTGGTGTGTTGGTTGGCAGAGAGCGCGCTTGTCAAAAAAACCTTCCTCTGACAGAAGGCATGATTCACAGCAGAGAGAGAGGGAGAGAGGGAGAGAGGGAGAGAGAGAGCGAGAGAGAGAGAGAGAGAGAGAGAGAGAGGGGAGACAAGCGGCAGAAACAGAGAAAACAGCAGAGATAAAGAGAGAGAGACAGAGAGAAACGACCGAGGTGCAGATGCCGGTAAGAAAAACAAACAAGGACGCTGATTTGAGGCACAATGACAACACATTACCAGGATGGGACTGAGTTCGATGGACTGGATTTACTGATGCCTTTTAATGAGTGTGGCCACGTTGATAAGGTTCTGGCTTTTCTATTGATTGGGGGGAAATAGAGCAGGTGGCAGTGGCAGGAATGAAAGAGAGAGAGATGGGGGGAGAGAGAGGATGCTTAAGAATGAAGGCACTCTGAAAACATAGAGACAGAGACAGAGAGACTAGGAATGATTCTCAATTATCAATAGGCTCCTTTGATGGCGCTTAACTGATTTGTGAGGAAAGCATCACTGATGCATGCAAATGAGATAGCTCTAACTCTTTAATATTGCATTTGAGATGGATATTAGTGTGGATACTTCAGGACTACTGTGGAAAGCTTTCTAAACATGTTTTCAATATAGGACTGACAATTTGTTCTTTTATTGGTGTGGATGAAAGATGCACTCTTTTTGAATCCATAAAGGATTTTTAATTCCTCTTTTAACTTTCCCTCCTCTAAACTGTGTGTAGTGAAATTAGTCAGTGTTGAGCCAAGATTACCGGATTTCTCAGTGTCTGTGGTGATGCCACACTTCTGTGGTCAAAATTTGTGTTAAGTGGCTTTATCTTGTGATGTTGGTGGCTTCCTGTCAGAGAACAATTATAGCTAATCACCATACTAAGTACTGTTGTTTTTTTCCCACAGAGGTAGAGTATGAACCAGTTTGGTACATTCAAAGTACAGTAGGAACATTAAGCTCAAATCAGATGTTCACAGTCATACATATGGTGAAAAATTCAGGTTCTGATTCCTCATAGTGATGGAGGGAACAGATTTGAAGGAATATTGACATCACCTTCCTGACTTTGTTTTTGGCAGCAAATTTGCATTGTGCTTTAAGGCTGGTTGGTGCAGCTTAGTGTTTAGCCTGTCCTTGAAGTTCTACATTAAAAAAATCTTTTGTCTTGTCTCTGAAGTGTTATTTACTTCTATGAAGGCTGTTGATATATGTTTTAAAATGTGCCTTTTATTAAATCAACCAAAGGGTTAGCCAATTACAACACTTTCTAGAACAGCGTTCAGCCTGTCCTTGGAAGAAAAACACTGACAGCATTTTTGAAGTGATGGCTTGACTACTGAATTACCAAAAGTGAAAACCTTTTGAGAAATCAGTGTCATAATCTGAAACCAACAGTTATGTTTCCATGTGGGTTTCATGATCAGCACATGGGGTTTCTCCTCCCAGCATTATTGATAACCCACTGATGACTTGTGATCCTAACAGTCTAATCAATAGATTACCACGGTTCTAGACAGCTATGGGCTCTTTTTGCTGTCACTTGTTTTGAAAGTTCTCTGTACATTTGAAATTAAAGAGGTGCTCCAGCAATTTACTGTTGCACTTTCAGTAAGTTGGAGCATTCACAAGAGACAGATTTAAAAAGATTCACAAAAATTGAATCAGTGGGGCCTGAAATATCTTGACTTTTACTTTCTGTGGTCAAGTGCCATAAAACAGTGGATTATGCAGTTCCCATAATGCAGTGTCTTTCATTGGCTGCCTGATAAATGCCTCATATAAGCTTTCTGTTAAAAATGTGAAGTCTCACTCCAAGGTAACTCTGATGACACCATCATGGTTGTTTTGTCAGACTTTAGAAAGCTCCATTCAGAGCCACAGAAGCCATTAAACAACTGTTTTCACAGGCTGAGTAGCACTTTTGGTGACAAGTAAACTGACATGTTTAAGATTGGTGGAGTGCCTTTTTAATTGGACGTGCAGCTAATATTTTAATACTGAATATGTTAATATCAACTCACATTGATATTTGTGGAGAGACTTTTCAAGCTGTTTTACATCCATATCTTTTTTTGTTGTTTGCTTTCTTTTCCACAGAATCAACAAAAACAGCCAGAATGAGAGAAGCAGAATTCACTGGATTCAATCCTCCATCCACTGTACTAGGTCTTTCTGTCACTCTGTGTCTGACTGACTAACACTCAGCTGGATAAAGATTTAATTGGCTCTGATCACACAGGCAGAACAATAAACAACCCAAATAAATACAAATGAAGTCAGGAGAGAGTGGGAGAGAAGATGAGCTAAGAACAGCAATCCCGTGGACATAAAAACTGGACATATTTTTTCTTATCTTTTCATTTATTTCTCCAAAACGTGGCTGGAATTATTTCTCAAAATAGGATTTCATTTCTGAATTTCATTTGGACATTATGCTGATTACAGTGTTTTTATGTCATGGAGCTACTGGCAGTTAGATTTTTTTCAATTATAAAACTGTCCTGGTCTCTCATTAAAAGAGAAGGAATATGCTTGAGTATATTGCAGTGAAGGTATCATTTCTCCGATTCTTTTATTCAGCCATGGCCCTCTCAAAGCCAGCTGACATGTGTCTTGCACATTCTGAAAGTCATTTTGCAAACAGTTTTTTTCAGAATTAGTGAAATTAACAACTTCACAATTCACTCTTCAAGCTTTACACGTGCCTCCCACCAGCCCCTCCCACCGCCAGCCATCCGACCAATTATGGGCAAGCCTCTTAGCCGTCCCGGGTGTTTCAGGAAAAGCTCCTGCTGCCTGGAGAAACATGGCGCTGGGGATGGGGGAGTGGGAGCACCAGACGGTGCATTGGAAGGGGGATACGGAGACGGCTACGTACCCCAGCGGTCCATCTATGACACCATGTGCATCAATCAGCAGATTGACAGCCATCACCACCACCGTGGAGGGTCCATGCGGCTAGATGGTGGAGGTGAGGGGAGCTTTAGCTACTCTGCAAGTGGCTCCCTCAGGATTAGTAGGTCCCCGACTGACATGTTTGATCCTCAGCCTCGCTCTTTAACTACGAACCCTTCATTCGTACGACGACTGGATGAAAGAGCCATCTATGATTCGTTGAAGCTTGGGGGTCAAGATGTCGATGGTGGGGGCTGCCATTCACCAGGACGCTTCCCTCGATCAGTTTCACCCTCTATGTCTTCATTCTCAGCACCAGGACTGTCCTCCTCATCCAAGAAACACCACCATCACCACCACCATCACCATGGAGACAGCACAAAGAGCAGAGATGGACGGCATT